ATTGACCAGGAAAAGGAGATTAAAAGGCTGGGATTTTGGCTTAGTATGGTTCATTAATTCCTGCCATGTGAGAAGGAAATCAAGGAAAATTGTAACTTTGACAATTAAGGATAATGTGACAAAGTTTGCACTATTCAATCACTGATTTTGGTTCCTTGATGTTTTTATCTTTATCCTTGGTAAATGGAGTTGTGTTTATGGATATTTGGAGTGGGAAATTCGTCCATATGCTGAAGGATATGAATGGGATTGGGTTTTGAACAACAGGACAAAATCAGAGGAAAACTTTTTCCTGATTTTGTTTTTGTTTTGTGGAACATAATGTGGCCTGATTTTTGGGTAAAAGAGTTGGGAAATTCGTGGGTTTGAAGTGGGGAAGTGAAAGGGAGGTTTTATTTTAATTAAAAGGAACAGCAGAAGTAGAAATAATACACAAGGCTTGTCCTTCTGACCTCATTTTCTTTCAGGGTTAAAAAGAAGAGAAAGGACTTTATTTTGTTTATTAAATGGAAATAAAAGACTTTGGATATTTGGAAAGGATATGGAAAGGCTTGATATCAAGAAGAGCTTTGGAGGAGCAGGGTTATGGTTTGGGTTTTAGGGTACGAAAGGTTAATCAGTTCAGCCCAAAAAGGATCATAACACTTAGATATTAACCCTTTGATTGTTTTATGGTTTGTGGTGTAACCTCCGTGCTTGTAGGAGCATCCCGGGGTACATCATCCTCCCCTTCTTCAGAAGAGTTTGACCTCAAACTCGGAATATCTTCGGGTTCAAAGTACGGGCTGAGATCCGTGACATTGAACGTGGCTGAAACTCCATAGTCTCCAGGTAGGTCTATCTTGTATGCATTGTCGTTGACCTTAGCTAAAACTTCGAACGGACCATCTCCTCGGGGCAGTAACTTGGACTTGCGTTTTGAGGGAAAACGCTCTTTTCTAAGGTGGATCCACACAAGATCTCCAGGTTGGAAATCCATCTTCTTGCGTCGCTTGTTGATCTTTTCACTGACACGCTCATTCATTTTCTCAATTTCTGCACGGACCTTGTTGTGAATATCTTGTATCTCCTGTGCTCGTTTCTCCGCTTCCCAACTGTACTTTGTATCTGTTAAAATTGGATTAAGATCAAGTGGGGTAAGGGGATTAACACCATAAACAGTAACAAATGGTGAAACGCCTGTTGTTTTGCTTGGACTGCGGTTGTAAGCAAATTCAGCATGAGGAAGCAATTCTTCCCACTGTTTGATGTTCTTCTTGATGATGGCACGAAGGATGGTACCAAGTGTTCGGTTTGTTACTTCCGTCTGGCCATCGGTTTGCGGGTGGCTTGATGTACTAAACTTGAGTTTAGTACCCATTTTTCTCCACAAAGTCATCCAAAAATGACTTAAGAATTTGCTGTCTCGATCGGAAACCATGCTTCGGGGAATGCCATGAAGTTTGACAATATCCCTAAAGTATAAATCTGCAATTTGTGAAGCATCATGAGTTGTTAGGCA